TCACAGTTGCGGTTGTAGTGTAGAGGTTTTGGAGTTGTCTTAACTGGGTTTCTTGCTTTAGTAAAAACGGTATTCAACCTCAATACCTCTCTCTCTGTAATGCCACACTTTATTATATTGCATTTTTGTATAGCATTGATGGTTTCTATAATTGCACAGTGGTGGTAATAAGAGGTGAATTAAGTCGGGTAAGTCCCCACTGAAGGCCCAGGTACCAAAGGCACGGCCCGCCACTGTCTCCACCATCTACTCATGTTCCCTTCTTTTCAGAACAAGCATATACTTTTAGTCAAGATAACTTTGTTCAAAAAAGTTTTTATTGCATCATAGCAAAGTTCTCGTTCTCAGATAGATGTACTTCACAGTTGCCATATCTAAATAAAAAACAAAAAAACAGCTGAAAACAGTATTTGGCTTCAGTAAACCATTAACAAAGCATGATTACCTGTTGAAACGCTGAAACACAGGCTCACTCAATATCTGACATGCACATCTTTTGTTTTAGTTGCTAGCAAATGGATATATTAAAGGAATGTTACCTCACTCTTTGTTTCCATCCTTGTTTTGCTGATATAAGGAGCGTTCAACGGTCAGTTTAGTTAGTGTAGGTTGGTTCATTTTCACAGAAAGTCAACTAGGTCAGTGAGGTTTGGAATTTGAACCATTCCATGTTATCACAAAAATCAAACTTCTCCCCAGAAAACAGCAAAGGCAAAGTGTTCAACTTTGCAACCAAAAATCAATAAATCAATAAATCAATAAATGTAAAACATAATTATCATTTTCATAAAATGAAGGGAAAATGAGAGCAACAGATTTCTGTTTTACACTGCATGAAAAAAATGCAGCCCTTCTCTTTCATTCCAGTGGAGGATGTGTTCTGCATGACATCATTTAGTACACTGGCCACACTCACATGCATGTAAGTACAGATTCCTAGTGATACTGTGATGACATAAACCTGACAAACTGGCCATTATTAACAATTTAAAAGAGAAAATTCATCTTGTGTGTTTGGTGAGGAGGGTAAACTCATCTCTGACTGGCACAACCAGTGCTTTCCTGATGAAAAGACACCCTTGTCATACCTCATGTTGTCTATCCAACAGTCTATGGCTACAGGCACCAGCAGCTCCAGGTTAAGCCACAGAGTGAAGAAGTCGGTCTTCTTATAGCAGATGTAATGGACCACACTGGGTTTATCCAGCTTTGCCTCCAACTGGTTTCCCAGATCCCCAGGAACTGCAAGGAGCAATGTGAAGAAAGACTTACTGCCAAGTCACTGTGATGCACTGGCATCCAACATCTCTAAAGTAAACGGTTTTTGTGAGTTATAGTTGAAAAAAAATAATGATAACCCATCCATCCATCCATCCATCCATCTTCCTCCACTTATCCTGAACCGGGTCGCGGGGGCAGCAGTCTAAGCAAAGATGCCCAGACTTCCCTCTCTCTAGACACTTCCTCCAGCTCCTCCGGGGGAATGCCAAGGCGTTCCCAGGCCAGCCAAGAGACGTAGTCCCTCCAGCATGTCCTGGGTCTTCCCCGGGGCCCGCTCCCAGTGGGACATGCCCGGAACACCTCCCTAGGAAGGCGTCCAGATGCCCGAGCCACCTCAGCTGGCTCCTCTCGATGTGGAGGAGCAGCGGTTCTACTCTGAGCTCCTCCTGGGTGACCGAGCTCCTCACCCTATCTCTAAGGGTGCGCCCAGACACCCTGCGGAGGAAGCTCATTTCGGCCGCCTGTATCTGGGATCTTGCCCTTTCGGTCATGACCCCAAGCTTATGACCCGGTCATGACCCAAAGCTCATGACCATAATAAGGATGATAATAAAATAATAATAATACTCAAACTTATAGTCTGGCTTAGCAGGCAGTTTGCCTCAAAACCAAAGACCGTTTCAGGAGACGGAGAGGAGAAGGAGCTGCAGACATTTAAAATGGCTATGCTGTATAGATATAGTTTATGAATTGAAATTTCCATAAAAGTTAGACACTTTGTCATAACATCATGACACAGAACCCAGAAAAGTCTAGAGAGAGACTTCACCAGTATCATGAGGACATCACTTGCTCCAGCTCAGTCATATGATCTGGGGACTGCACAATCTGTAAACAATCACCCTCAACACGCGCACGCACGCGCGCACACACACACACACACAATACCTGCCATTGTTAAAGTTAAATGTGAACTTTCTCACGAATATATCAAAATAGTGTGGTGATAACTGGTTTTAGTTTCTGATATTATTCCTGACTTTCATCCAAACTCCATTCAAGAACATAGCAATTGGAAGAACTCCAATACTGAAAGGGACATTTAATCCTCGACAAACGATGACTAAACACATTTTCGAAATCGGTAGAAACACAAATGTAATACAGATAAAACGGAACATCTCTACGACGAATCGCTGCGTGTTTCGATGGAATGATAATGAGACTGACAGGCCAGATAAATAAAAAGTTCACATTTAATAGGCTTAAACAGTACACATTAGGCTAAGGAAAAGGAAGGTTAGATTAAATTGGTTCTGGTGTAAAGATAGTTTGGCCTATCTTGAATATCGCCCACTCCATACGAGCCGAGAAGCGATACGTTTCGCCAATTAACTGGCCACAGATGGTAAAATAAACATGATTTGAAACACAGTAAAACACTTACTGAGGACCACAGGAGGTCTCGGGGGCTCACAAGACTTTCCGCCGGTACATTTCTCCAGCGGTCTCCCGCTGCCCCGAGCCGACAACAGGAACAACAAGCCGACTTGGAGCAGCACCGTGAACACGGTTACCTGGTGCCGACCCACCATGGCTTCTGGTGTTTCATAGCCAAGCAATCATGGCGTGTGAAGGTCTGCGGTACAGTTCGTCTGTTCTGCTGCTGAATTCCTCTGATTGTTTACCACATCATATATGTCCTAATAGGTTATGGTCACGAGATGCACACGGTCCACAATCAAAATGCATTTTTCTTCCTCTTTGGACTTTTTACGGCAGCTGACATTCAGTGAGTTGTTTTACTGCCTCCTGCTGGGCGTAGGCCTCCTCTTTGCTCATTTTTCAGTCTAGTCAGTTGCATTTCAGGATTGGTAATGAGGTAAAACAATGAAATGATGATTCCATTTGAAACAGGTGATGTCAACAGGTGACTACATCATGATTTGGTACAAAAGTGGCATCCAGGAAAGGCTGAGCCCTTTAGGAGCAAAGATGGGTCGAGGAGCACCAGTTTGCCAACATATATGGGAGAAAATTATTGAAATGTTTAAAAACAATGATCCTCAAAGAAAGATAGGAAGGGATTTGGATATGTCACTCTCTATGATGTGTAACATAATTAAAAGATTCAAGGAATCTGGAGGGATTTCAGTATGTAAAGGGCATGGGTGCACGCCTAAGCTGGATGACCGTGCTCTCTGATCCCTCAAATGGCACTGCATCAATAATTGTCACTCTTCTATGAGCGATATAACCACATAGGCTCAGGATTACAGAAGTACAGTTGACTGCTCTGGGCTCGGAGGCATCTGGGATGGATCATCACACAGTGGAAATGTGTACTGTGGTCAGATGAATCAGTATTTCAGGTCTTTCTTGGAAGGAATGGATGTCGTGTGCTCTGGATCAAAGATGAAAAGGGTCATCCAGACTATTAACAAGTCCAAAAGCCAGGGTCTGTCATGGTCTGGGGTGTGTCAGTGTCCTTGGCAAAGGTCACTTGCACTCCTGTGATGGCTCCATTAATGCTGAAAAATACAAAGATTTTGGAGCAACATATGTTGCCTGCAATACAACATCTTTTCCAAAGACGCCCATGTATATTTCAACAAGACAATGCAAAACCTCACACTGCACACATTACCAAGGGCTGGCAGTGGAGAAAAATGGTGTGAGTGCTGGACAGGCCTGCCTGCAGTCCCGACCTGCTCCCAGCAATTTTAAATGCAAATTGTGACAACAAAGACCCTGGGCTGTTATGCACCTTAAAATTTGTTTGCAGGAAGAATGGGACAAAATGACACCTGACATACGTACACTTGGTGTCCTCAGCCCCTAAAACATCTTTTAAGTGTTGTGAAAAGGAACAGCAACATCACAGTGTGGTAAATGCTTTACTGTCCCAAAGTGAGTGAGTGTTTATTTTGAACAAAGATATGTGATGAGGTATCACATCAAAATAACATGCTGCTGTGTTGTTTTCAATGTAATACTGGACACAGATGATTTACACAACTATTTTCAATTTTACATACCGTCCCAACTTTTTCTGATTTGGGGTTGTAACTTGCGTAGTTTATACACTACCTAGAGACAATACATACAAAAAAGCTTTTCTGATCTTTGGAAATGTTTTACAAAGATTAAAACTCTGTAACAAAAAACACAGTGGAAAGAATGATAACTGACTTTATTTGTAGCTTGAGGTGTGCTAGCAACAGTTTTACAGACATTTCATATTATTGTGATATGGAGAAAATGCTTCTTGGGCTGCAAGAGGATTTTTCATTGCAGTACCACCCATGGCTGCTGGGCAGAATTGGCAGAAAGGCTGAGTAGTGGCGTCAAAGACCTGGGCATGTGTGTCAGGTGAGCAGCTTTCACTGCACAGAATGGGTGACTTATTTCAGTTCAGTATCTAAGTTTTAATAATATATCTATGGTGCACACACACTTTTTCCCTAATTTCATAGCCAGATCTCTGCTTCGTCCAGCTGCTCACATTATATTAGAAAATTACCCCTAAACAGCACCCAACAAAGAGTCCCTGTGATGCACTGACCAAAAAAATATTTAAAAGTAAAATTAACAAGTCCCTGTGTATTTATTCTGCTTGTGTTGTTGTTTTCTAATAGACAACTGTGTGTTTTTTTAAAATGTTCGTAAAGTTTTATGCTTTTTTAAGTGCATGTTGGACTCCGGCAGGGCTGCCCTTTGTCACCAGTTCTGTTCATTATTTTTATGGACAGAATTTCTAGGTGCAGCCAGGGGC